CTATTATCGCTGCGTTTGCCACCAGTTATGAGCGATTTGGGCGAAGACATACTGTCGGACCTGCAGCCCACGCGCCCTCACCAGCCGTCGGACGACACGTCCTCAGCAGCGCCCGACCCTCAGTCGACCACCGGTTCCGCAGTCGTGGCCACCGATGGTGTGACTCTCGAGCAGTCGTCCGTCGCTTTCGACAAACACACGGTTCTGGCGGTTCTTCAGTTTCTGCAGCGAAACGATTTGCAGAAAACGGTGACTCAGTTACGCAAAGAACCCAAACTCGTGAGCCTATTGTCCGACGAGGAGGTGCGCCAATTGGAGGCCAACAGCCACGAGAGCGGCGGCGCCTCCAACGGCGCCAATGAGTCCCATCTGAACGATGTGCTCAAGACATACAAGTCGGACGAGAATCCGGACATCTATGAAGACAACTACAATACGCTCCGGAAGTTCATCGAGTCTTCGCTGGACTCGTATCGACACGAGTTGTTGCGACTCTTGTACCCCGTCTTCGTTCACATGTATTTAGAGCTTGTAGTGAACGGACACGAAGAGCGCGCCAAACAACTGATGGCTAAGTTTGGTCCGCAGCAGGAGTTCTACTACGAGGAAGACGTGAAGAAGTTGTCAGTAGTGACCAAAACGGAGCACTTGTGCGCCAACAACGACATCATCGACTCGTTCCGCACTCAACACAAGTTATACACACTTCGGCTGTCGAGGGATTCATACAATTATCTCAAGCGCTTCCTGCAGGAGAAGTCGAAACCCAATACACAGATCTTCCAGAATATCATTCACGAGTACCTCATACTCGATGTCTATGAGGGCCTCACGAGGACTAAGGGACAGGTGGAGGCCGTGGCGGGCGGTATGTTAGGAGAAGCCAAACGCGACGCCAATAAGACGAAAGTGTTTTACGGACTCTTCAAAGAGCCGGAGCTCAAGATCGACATAACGGACATCGAATTGGATGAGACGGCGGGCGGTGAGGGCGGCGACGGGACGGCCGCCGAGAAGCCGAAAAAGAAGTCGAAGAAGAAGGACTCGTCGCAGGCGAAGAAGGCGCGCACCGACCCGAACGCCCCGCCATTCACTCGCATACCACTGCCGGAGCTGAGGGACGCCGAGCAGAAGGATAGGGTGCGGGCGCGCAACGACTCGTCCAAAGCGCTGAAGTTGGGGCCGGAAGTGCTGCCGTCCATCTGCTTCTACACTCTGCTGAACGCCCAGCAGAACCATGAGATGGCGGCCCTCTGTGCCGACGTGTCCGAAGACTCCACTCTATTGGCCGCCGGCTTCTCCGACTCGTTGGTGAGAGTGTGGAGTCTGTCGGCCAATAGGCTGAAGACTATGAAACCGGTGTCGGAGTTGGAACTGATCGACAAAGAAGTGGATGACGTTCTCTACCGAATGATGGACGACAAAAGCACTTTCGACAGCAAGGTATTGGCCGCCCACTCGGGGCCCGTATATGCCGTCAGCTTTAGTCCGTCGCGAGATCTGCTGCTCTCCTGTTCCGAAGACTCCACGAGTCAGTCATTGAATCATTGTTTTTGTGATTTGTTTCCTAATTATAGCCTTTGATTTGCAGTCCGTTTGTGGAGTTTGTTGACGTGGACTAACGTTTGCTGCTATAAAGGCCACTGTTTTCCCGTATGGGACGTGAAGTTCAGTCCTCACGGCTACTACTTTGCCAGCGCTTCGCACGACAGGACTGCCCGCCTCTGGGCTACCGATCAGTACAACCCTTTGAGGCTCTTTGCCGGACATATATCTGATGTCGACGTGAGTTATCGATAGTTATCTAGTGTATAGTTATCATCGCTTTTTAGGATTTGAGACTAATTTCTACGATTTGAATGTTTGTCCGTAAAGTGTGTTCAGTTTCACCCGAACTCCAACTATATCGCCACCGGATCTACAGACCGGTCCGTCCGACTATGGGATGTACTAAACGGTCAGTGCGTTCGCTATATGACGGGACACAAGGGAACGGTATTCGCGTTGGCCTTCGAGAACAGCGGCCGGTATTTAGTGTCCGGCGGCGCCGACAAAAGGATACTGTTTTGGGACTTAATGTTCGGCTATTTAGTGGCCGAACTGTGCGGTCATTACGACCCGATCTACTCATTGAGTTTCAGTCGCGGACTCGAGGGCACAATGTTGGCGTCGGGAGGCACTGACGACTGCATTGTCTTATGGGATGTGCTGTCGCTGTTGGAGGAGATCGAGGCCGAGGACGTGTCGGCCAACCAATCGCCTGCAGTCAAGTAATTGTCAATTGAATGACCCATTTATACAAGTTTTTGATTTTGTATTCAAAACACTAAAAATATGTTTTTGTTTTTCATGTTTTGCCCCAAAACTGGTCACTCGATAGGAATAATAGCGAACAGTTTCTGTTGGGCTCCTATAGGACCAAATCAACGTACATATTGTCCACACATTTTACTCGTCGTAATCTACTCCTCGGAATCGGAATATTTCACTAATTTTCACCACTTTTGGCGTAATTTTCCGTTTATTTGTGTGTTTTTCATAATCGACAAAATGTGTTCAAACAGACAAATATGAGTGCAATTTGTGGACAATTCATAAGACATATTGTGTGACAAACCATGTGAAGAGCTCTTTTATATTGAAACTTTGAATCGAGTTTTCAATTATTATTTAGTTTTTTATTGAGATATAAATAATAATAATTATAAAAAAAGTGTTTTTGTTTTACGCAAACGACTCGCCGGTCAATGAATCGATGGATACTAAAGCAATGGGAGATCCGTTGACACTAAGTATCGCTTTGTTTTGGTTGAGTTTGGGGTCAGCTGTGGACGCCGTGGCCATCGATACGTATGACTTGATTTCCCTATTATTCTGGACATCACTCGCGGCTGAATAGCGGGACGGCGTTGTCGTGAACCACAGGAGTGCTATCACACAGAATATGAGTCCACTGATGACGAACAGAATCGTCGAGAAGACTTGATTCCAGTATTGGTCTGAAGATAATCACATGAAAAATAGAATTAATTTTTGTTTTGTATAATTAATTGAATTACGAGTAATATTTTGTAAATAGTTTTAAAGTAAACTTATGTAAAAGTTTGTATGAATACCTGAAACGGCTTTCCCCACACTTGCGTTGCTATTGAGTGGATTACTGTTGACGATGTGGTGGTCCTGGTGTTGGGCCAGCATTCGTGAGTCACGCACGTTGTGTGACTGCTTGTAGAGATCAAACGTGAAGATATCATTGCTCTTATCGATGATATTGTTATTCTCGTTATTGGGGTCGACGTTGGGTTTGGACACCGGTATGACATTGCTTTCGATGGAGTGATTCTTGTGGTACGTGTGATGGTG